CCCATGGTTACACACTGCAGTCAGTATTCTTACCCGTTTCCCTTGGTCCTGCTTAACACTTCTAACTGAAGCCCAAAAATCATCAGTGGAAAATTGTGATCGTGCTGTCTCGTAGGAGGCAAAATGGCTTGAGCTGCTCGCCAAAAACTGATATGGTTTTTCTGCACCACGAAATTCCATGATTGCTCTAATTAATAAGATAGAAGATATATATCTTTTCTTTGTATGGAAAATGGAATTAATGATTATTAGACTGTACAGCACTGTTACTTAAGCTGCCCATTAATAATCAGTAGTGACAGCAGCCATTTTGCTTCTGATCGTATAAAGCAGAACATCCTTAGTAGCAGTTTACATCTTTCAAATATGATAAGTAACTGATGATTATTAAGAATCAGCTTGCGGATAGGAGCCAATCAGTACTGGCAAAATATTTTGAATGAAATAATAAGTAATAATTATAATTTGAAGTAGATGTAGATAGAGTAAAACAAAAGTTAAAAGCAAAAGTGAAGTATACTATTTGCAATTAAATCAATTTTAAAATAAGTTAAGGTTATCACCCTAACCTACGATCAGACGGTGCTTCTTCCTTTTTGTTTGGGAGACGAGGGGGGAAACGCCTGATCGCAGGTTTTAGTGTTACCCCTGATCGAGGTACGGGTGCTGGCTAATTAGACTTAAAATACTACCCTAACATCAAACCTGAGGAAAGTGAACGCTGCTCTGGTGAGATTTCAAAAGGTCCGGCAGCAAATGATTTTATACGTCGCCTCATCGTGCAAATCTCGTGAGAAAGTGAGTGATTAGGAGGATTGGAATAAGACAAGTCACAAGTCTCCCCGCTGATCTTCGACTGCACTTGGGCGCATGAAAGACTGGAACCCAGTTTAAGAATGGCGGCCCTCGCATTGAGTAGCTTATCGAGGAAGAGACTTCTAAAAATGCTGTTTAATTTTCAGTACATTAGACAATTCAAATCCACAGAACCACGTTGGAGTAAAATGGTAACAACACGAGCAGTAAGCTCGCTGATCACAGAGCTTCATCACCCGATCACGTTGAGAGAGAAGAAGCCACTCAAAAATCAGATGGCGTACTTTCACGCGTCTGAAATATTGTTCGGACGAGAAATTGTCAAACGGGCCCAGAAACTAGAGAAATCCAGAGAAAGATCGGCAGAACTGCTGAAGGCTTTGCGTAAAAAACGTTTGGAAGGACTAAAGCAACACCGATCCGAAGTGGGCTTGACCAGAAGTTGTTGATGAATGTCATCACTCGCATCACACGCTGTGCATCCACTGACATCAGGTTTACAAGTTCTCCAGCAGTTGATTCTCCATGGGACTTGAACTTCACCATCAAAGCCTTAAATATTAAAATTATAAGGTAATAACATGGTCACTGTTCTTCCGTTTAACAAATATTTGGCATACTTTCTCAAGTAATTTGTAAATCATTCGTCCAGCGATTTTGAGTTAATTTGTGTTCTTATAAGAATCGAGTCCAGATTTTTTGATTCGCTCTTTATTCTTTGTCGCTGTTAAAGTGGAAATCTAGGAGCATAACAGTCTCGTGAAACATCAGGACTCTCAGGAAAAAGAAAGTAACTATTTCCCTTGGGGACTGACATCAAGTGTATTATATTCACCGGGGCCTTTATGAAGTTATGGACTTTAAAAGTAAATTAAAAATCCTGCTTCAACGGATCCTATAGATTGAGGAGATATATACTACGGCTATTTATACCAGAAAACATAAGATACGTCGAATTGAACAAAGCCATTCGTACATAAATAAGGCTTATGTAAGACTCGAAGATCACGCAAGAACGCTTAGCGTCTAGTTCGAGTCTTATCTCTGGCTCCGGATTAGTTTTTAAGTCAATGTTATCACTAGCAACGGGCAACGGTTCTGAGAAGTTCATCAGTCAAATTCCAGGAAACATGATTAACCTCCAGGATATTTAAAAGGCAACATTGTGGGAACAGCACATATTCTACGGAAAGTCCTATGCATCAAGCGACAACGAAGATGGTTTTTAATTAGGACTTAGACAAAGCAACCCTCTAGTGCCCTAGGTTCATGGTATGAACTCGGCCCTTGGAGAAGAAATACTGTCTACTTTTGATCGTCATAATAATGACAATGATGATGATAATGATAGCAATAGTGATATTAATACCCAGGCTTAGAAACTAAGGTATCAACATTAAAATTTATAAGCATCTTGATTACCTTTTCATAAACTAAGCCAATTAAAGCTGTGTTGATTCTCATACCGATTGTGTTCATGAGATAAACAAACTGCCCAAAAGCAAGAGACTGAATACATGCGGTCACCAGCATTGCTCCGGCATAGAGATAACCTTTCCATTCTTTCCATTCCCCAAACAAATCACTTTTGTGTTCACGATCAGTGTATTCAACCAACAACCTATAGGGTAGTGAGTAGTAAATGTTGTAACCTTCAGTTTAATATATTATTCATTCAAATTATATTATAAATTTAATCTGCGGCAGGATTTGCTCAGTCGGTAGAGCGCTTGACTGCAGAGCAGGAGGTCGTGGGTTCGATTCCCGGGACCAGACCAACACTCAGCGTAGCCTGTGAACAGGCCTTTGGTCGAGCGGGGTGGGGAGAGGGAAAAGCGAAAAGGCCTGTAGACAAACATTTAGGACCGTCGTGCCACGGTACCCGCTGTGCATTAGATCCTGATGCAAGCTCCTATTGGCGAGAACACTGACTGTTGACTGGTCTGATTGACATCGGCTTTTCGTTCGGCACGTAGCACGCGATTTGATCACAGAGTGGCAGTAACAAAATAGTCCAAAGACTATTAATACGGGGAGGAACTAAGCCGGAGTTTATAGTTACCGAAGCACAATGCAATTCTCCATAGCTGATGTAGCTTCGGTTTAAGCTGCACTTCAATCTTAAAATTTTGGATCTGTAAATAACTATCCATGAAAATTTTTGAACAGTCTGCAAAGAAAACTAAAGAGCTGGGCCCAGCGTCACGATACAACATTGCAGAAAAACATTACATTCACGGACTAAAGAAAATCGCTTACTTATTCAGATCGAGAAGGCACTTTGGAGAAAAGTAAGACCCTTATTCAGCCGCAATAAAAAGGTTTACGCTTCAAACGAGGTCAAAGAAAATGTTCTTGCATCAGAGGGCAAATCCCGTCGACCAGAGACAAAAACCACAGTAAATCGATATGTGTGCCATGACCTCTCAGTGTGAAACAAGCGGCTAAGATCACATTTGCTCTGTGAAAATGCAGAACCTTCCAGAGAAGAAAAACCAACCCTGCAGAGGAAAAAACTTATGGGAACAAGCAGCACTTTGGCATAAAGTAAAAGTCGTGTGGGCCTACCACCCCCTTTTATTGCTATAAATACCTGAAGGTGTAATTCCCGTTGGCGATCGAAGCGCTGCTGATCTCTTTGTACTTGTCTTCGAAGATTCACGTTCTGGAGAAGTCATGATAGTATCTGTTCCTTCCGCATTCCAAGTTCGCTCATTTCAGCGGCTTGTTAAATTACAAAACAAACTAGCAAGACGAACGGCTTATTAATTCTCTTACCGGAGATCAACGACTTTTTGCAAAATCGACAATGAGGTTCGTGCTCCATTTCACTCTGTTTTCAGACGGAGCAAAACACGGCTCATTTCCTGTTAATTTTCCCAGGAGTTACTCACGCGCGAAATTGATTGACCGATAGCGATCTTGCTTACAGATGATCGGCAGGATAATTACAAGAGGGCGGAATAGCGGCCTCAAATGTTTGTCTACAGGCTCTCTCTCCCCCCCCCCGCCCCCCACTTTCCCTTCCCTTTCCTCGCTATTTTTCCCCAAACAGAGAGCCTGTTCACAGGCTACACTCAGCGTCTTAAAATGACTGAGAAATGAAGGAACTGCCTTTCCACTGCAAATGGCTGGACCTTCGCGCCACTAGGATGAACATGTAAAATGGCGGCCCCGTCTCCAGTAGGAGACGCAAAAATAGTGTCCCCAATTAGTACTCAAGTGCTAAATACATTGACACTCAAATAAAGTGCTTTTTTCATTATTATCATTATTATTATTATTATTATTATTATTATTATTATTATTATTATTATTATTATTATTATTATTATTATTATTATTATTATTATTATAATGCGGAAGAACGATGAACCCTACGCCAGACAAGTGATTCCCCAGTGAAGGCGGAACGTAGCATAGATTTGGTAAGTTAGTAATTAGTAAGCCCACACAAGACAAATAGACTTGCTGTTTTCCACCAAGCTTGTGATATCACACATAGTTTGACTTTATTCTAGAGCGGTTTTCACTTGACTGTCGAAAGTAATTGGTTTTGGTTTTGGTTTTGGTTTTACTACACCCTTTGGTTGGCTAGTGTATTTACTTTGGTTTTGGTTTTACGACAGTCAAGTGAAAACCGCTCTATTGTTATTCACCAACCTACCGGGAAAAAATGCGTTTGAATGTACCCTTGTTTCCACTTTATGCTCTATAGTGCACGTAATTTGGTTATGGGCTGCTCAACTCGTTGTGGCGGATTCCCATTAGCTTAGGCTGCTTACGTAAATTGCCAAATGAAAACTGGCCACAGATTTCTGCCAATTATTTTGTCACTGAACGGGCACAACTTAATGTGGATCACCGCTTTAAATTGACTGTAACTGACTGTAATTACACCGTACCTTAGCAGCTGAGGTTGAATAAAAACCAGCAGATCATTTAAGAGCTGGAACATAACAGCTTTTGCAAAGTCAACTCCAAATAATCCACTCCAAAGAGTCTTTGCGAGAGAGGGATTTCTTTCTTTTGTCTTCTTTCCCCTCTTCTTCTTTTGCATGTCTCCTTCATCCGCTAACAATCTGTCTGTTTCTTTGCAATCATTATCTTCATTATTGCCTTCTTTTTCTTCAGTTTCCTTTGCTTTCCTTCAAACCAATAAGTATAATATGGGTTAGTCAAAACATTTAACATTTAATAGGCGGCAGGGCGGCCGAGTGGCATCTGCTGTTTGGAGAATATTTGGGGAGCTGAACAACCCTCAACGTGCACTATCGAAGATGAACATAACATCGATGGAGGTAAGCATGTTTTGGCTATAGTTTTAAACTAGGAATTATTTTGAATGAATAATAAAACAATCATTAAATTCGGCATACGTATCATATGAAGAGTTCTGGAGATCTGGGAGGGTGTTATCCGCCTCGGTCTCGACGGATAACACCCCCTCGATCTCCATAATTCTTCATAAGATACTCAGCCTCATTCATTAACTGTTAAACAACAAAGATGTATGTATCTATAAATACACAAACTGGTTTAGTGGTTCAGTTCAATTTAGTATCTTCGGTTGTGATCCAATTTATAAAGAAATTTAAGCAAGTTCAGGGTCATTTCAAAAAATGAAATGACGATGAGAATGCTTGAATCGCCAAAATTTAATGCCCTTTTTCCTTAACAGTGTGCAAATGCCCCACCCCGTGGCAACACCAAAAATTGCATTTTCCAGTAAACATGGTATATGAACTGCAAATGCCACATTTATAGGAAATCTGTAATAATAACGCGTGAGGCACCCCTCGCAAACCACTGGTTATAATTATTGCAAAAAAGTTCACATCTATCTGATTAACATCAATGACAGAACTGTAAACTAGAATATTAATAATACCTTTCTTATTTTCGAAGGTATTAAAATAGCGAATAATAATCAAACAATCGACGAGCTTAACAATTATTTCTCATCACAATGGAACCGTTCCAGCATATTACGGAGCTTAAGCAACAACGACGGCGACGGCTACAAAAACGTCACTTAAAAAGTGAATTTGCACCGCTTCAAACTTTATCGCGCTTATTCCATCTTGTTTACTTCGTCAAATGTTGGCAAATGTTTTTGGAGTTGTATTCTAAACAACTCTATCAAAGTTCAGGAAAAGAAAAGAAAGTTGTTGTCTTGTGTTCCCGTCCTCGACAAAACGTGAATTCAGGCACTTTCACGTTGTAGTCGGGCAACGACGGCAAAGAAATGGAAAAAAAAGCGTGATACACGTGCAAAGTTGTTGTTTTGCCAATCTAAACCTATTGCTTTTTTGCCGTTCTCGTTGCCGTCCGCGTCGTCGTTGCTTAAGCTCCCTATTTATGAATGAAAATCGTCGCATTCATCACACAAAGTATGAAGTTTACATTAGCTTGCAAATATATCTCAGACTATTTTAGGCCTTTCTGCCTCAACCATTCGCTCAAAAAACGTGTCTTTTCCTTCGAACTCTTTAAACAATGCAGTGATTCTTTTTCCTCCACGTGCGAACTGATCACGATGGCAGGAAGCAATTTCTTCTAAAGATGGTGCAGTTCTTTCTCTTGTTGAGGCAAAACAGAAAACCCCTAGAACGAGGTTGTGATGATGCAAATGCAAAACGTACTGAGGGGTAGGGGGGTGATTCAGCAAAAACCACACGTATCTTTTTAAAGCATATGTATTAAAAATATTCTTTATCGAAATATCATCACAGCTATCTAAATAGACATATTTGTAAGTGAAATATTGAAAAAGGCCAGCCCGAAAAATGCGCGGGGGGAAGAGCACACTTGGAATTCACTGAGCCATAATTATACTAGTATCAGTAGCCAAAATCTCCAAAATTGCTGCGCTCATTTACTGTAGGTTTACTCCAGATGATTAGTTCCACATCCCATAAGTGCAAAGAAAGAGGGAGGAGTAAGCTGTGAGAGCTCAGAATTTGAGAAGGTAATTCGCTGATCGGATAGCTCCAGGGTTTTCCTAGGAACCAACTATTCCAGGTAATGAATTCATGATAACTGTCATGAATACAGAAACAATTCCTGCCCAGTAAAAACTCTAGATTCATTACCACGAATATAGAAACAATAGTACACAAACTCAGTACAGCAACTGCACTGTACCGTTGCTACTGTAGATTAAACAAGGGATTTAACTGGGCATGAATGGTTTCTATATTTGTGACGGTTATCATGAATCTATCACCATTTTTCAAATGGTGTATTCTGTTTATGTCTGCTGCTTGATTGCTCCGCTTACTCTGCAGCAATCATGAAAACAAGGGCAAAGTATTATACACCTTATTTCATGTCCCTGACCAGTCCTAAGAAAAATTGCAACTTAATACTGAGAAATCCTCTTTTGTTCCTCCTCTTTATGTTCATCAAATATAGATACCATGCCTATAGCTACAAACATAAACAATTCTATCCACTCTTGCTCCACCCTTCTGTGTTCATGTTAGGGAGGACAGCAATTATTGCTTGGAGCTTAATCATAATATGAGAAGAACATGCTATGCTGAATCATGAGACTAAACAGTGATTACAGTTAATAATTTTCTTACAATCTCCTGCATTTCCTTTGTTGTTCAAGCCATTTCTTCTTCAGTCTTGGTACAATATAAGAGGCTTGGTCCTCTCTTCTTAATGCCCACAAATCTTTATCTTCCAAGGGTCTTTTATAACCAGTGTTAATTATCCTGTGAAGCACATTTATTGATGCAAAAAAAAAGTTTATATTATTAAAATAGGTACTTTTTGGATTACATTACATATAAGATTTACTCAGTCAGAGGTACTTATATGACAGAGTTCCATTTGAAATTTATTTACATGTCATGAGTGCTTGTCAAACAAGTATCAAAATTGCATGAGCTCATAGGGTTAGTAATGTAAAAGGGCAAACATTAACGTAATATTATTTATTAATTTTTAGTATCTAGAAAAGTGCTGAAAGGATGCATGACTGACTTTTTTGACAGCTAAAATTAGAAGTTGGAAGACTACTAAACAGCTGTAGCAATAAACCAAGAATGTGTCTGATGTACATTCAACGATAAAAAATGTCCAGCAGGATAAGCAGCTAGATTGAGAAATATGTACAATGTAGATGCTACAAAATGAAGATGTATAATGTCATATTCTTAATTTACAAATGACATGTTGGTAACAAGAAACTTCAAATATTTTCTCACCAGTTTAACCACCAGAAAGTAACTAAAGAAAAGAAGTTGGCTTTTTCCTGAGGATTTTGCTCCTATAGCAATAAAAACAGAGACAAATTTATTGAATCAGTTACTGATAACAATAATAAAAATTTTTACAGCTAAAATAAGCATAACAGCTTTCTGGTCTCCCCTCAGGTGTATTTTTGGCTTGGTACAACTTCAGACCTTTTCCAAAAATGAATACTGAAAAACAACAGGGGTACAGTTGATTACAATTAAAATTTGTCTTTGTGTTATCACCTGTATTTTTAAAGCAGTCACACACAGCCCGGGGGGGGGGGGGTACTCCCTACGAGGGTCTATACGGGGAGGCTCTGCTTGAAAGGTTCTAGCAACAGTCGAATCCCGATAACTCGAACCTTCAAGGGAAATAGAAAACAGTTCGAGTTATCGGGAGTTCGAGTTATTGAGGGTAACATTATATAGAAAACGATCTGAAGGGAAATGAAAATTGCTTCAGTGAGATTCTTGTGTGGCAGCATGGCATCAGTTATACAATCTGATGGACCACTTGAATATTATTATGAATCGTAATTATGTTAATGATTTTTAGCTTGTTAATGTGATAATAATAAATTATTAAAAGCAAAAAATTATTGTTTCCTTTTATCCATTTTTCCATTTTCATTCTATTCTTATTCTTTGCTAGGCACTTAAATTATGTTTTTCTCTCATTAATTTTTATTTACTTTTCATTTTGTGATTTAGCCCTAAAGTAAAACACTTTGCATGATGTTGTCATCTCCAATAAAGATTTTCTTATTATTACATTATCAACTGCAAAGTTCCCATGGTTACACACTGCAGTCAGTATTCTTACCCGTTTCCCTTGGTCCTGCTTAACACTTCTAACTGAAGCCCAAAAATCATCAGTGGAAAATTGTGATCGTGCTGTCTCGTAGGAGGCAAAATGGCTTGAGCTGCTCGCCAAAAACTGATACGTCTTTTCTGCACCACGAAATTCCATGATTGCACTAATTAATAAGATAGAAGATATATATCTTTTCTTTGTATGGAAAATGGAATTAATGATTATTAGACTGTATAGCACTGTTACTTAAGCTGCCCATTAATAATCAGTAGTGACAGCAGCCATTTTGCTTCTGATCGTATAAAGCAGAACATCCTTAGTAGCAGTTTACATCTTTCAAATATGGTAAGTAACTGATGACTATTAAGAATCAGCCTGCCGATAGGAGCCAATCAGTACTGGCAAAATATTTTGAATGAAATAATAATTATTATTATTAATCTCCAGGCTTCAAAGAATTTCAAATTTACCCTGAACTTGAGAAGAATACTCAAACACAATCACTACTCATGTAAAGGATTTTGTTTAAATATCAAGTCATCATTGTCATGCATATAAGCTTTTCAAAATTTGAAGTAGATGTAGATAGAGTAATATTTTAAGAAAAGTTAAAAGCAAAAGTGAAGTATACTATTCGCAATTAAATCAGTTTTAAAATAAGTTAAGGTTATCGCCCTAACTTACGATCAGACGGTGCTTCTTCCTTTTTGTTTGGGAGACGAGGGGGAAAACGCCTGATCGCAGGTTTTAGTGTCACCCCTGATCGAGGTACGGGTGCTGGCTAATTAGACTTAAAATACTACCCTAACATCAAACCTGAGGAAAGTGAACGCTGCTGTGGTGAGATTTCAAAAGGTCCGGCAGCAAATGATTTTATACGTCGCCCCATCGTGCAAATCTCGTGAGAAAGTGAGTGATTAGGAGGATTGGAATAAGACAAGTCACAAGTCTCCTGTCCCCTGATCTTCGACTGATCCAACACTTGGGCGCATGAAAGACTGGAACCCAGTTTAACAATGGCGGCCCTCGCATTGAGTAGCTTATCGGGAAAGAGACTTCTGTTTAATTTTCAGTACATTAGAAAATTCAAATCCACAGAACCACGTTGGAGTAAAATGGTAACAACACGAGCAGTAAGCTCGCTGATCACAGAGCTTCATCACCCGATCACGTTGAGAGAGAAGAAGCCACTCAAAAATCCGATGGCGTACTTTCACGCGTCTGAAATATTGTTCGGACGAGAAATTGTCAAACGGGCCCAGAAACTAGAGAAATCCAGAGAAAGATCGGCAGAACTGCTGAAGGCTTTGCGTAAAAAACGTTTGGAAGGACTTACGAATCCTCAACCTCACATGACAGCTGAAGAAAAAGTATTGAAAAGAATACATTGGCTACCCTCGATAAAGAAGCTTCTTATTTTTTATTGGGTCCAGATCAAATCAAAGAGTGAGTTGACACCAGTTCAAAAATTCGCTATTCTCGAATGTATAGCCAAATATTTCTCTAAAGAGACTCAAATGAGAGATGTGTTCCTGGTACAAGAGATGCAGCAGAGATTTTTTCAAATGCTGGTTCAAGATATCAGAGCAAACCTTGATTCTTATGATGCACATCAGCTGTACAAAATTGTCCTTTATATGGCGAAATTGTGTGTGACAGATCCTGTGATATATAAGCAACTTGAAAAAGGACTCTTGTTTTGGAGTCTGGGAGATTTTTCCACCAAAGAACTATCACAAATGTGTTGGGCATTTGCAAAATACCATCCACATGTAGATGAANTACGATCAGACGGTGCTTCTTCCTTTTTGTTTGGGAGACGAGGGGGAAAACGCCTGATCGCAGGTTTTAGTGTCACCCCTGATCGAGGTACGGGTGCTGGCTAATTAGACTTAAAATACTACCCTAACATCAAACCTGAGGAAAGTGAACGCTGCTGTGGTGAGATTTCAAAAGGTCCGGCAGCAAATGATTTTATACGTCGCCCCATCGTGCAAATCTCGTGAGAAAGTGAGTGATTAGGAGGATTGGAATAAGACAAGTCACAAGTCTCCTGTCCCCTGATCTTCGACTGATCCAACACTTGGGCGCATGAAAGACTGGAACCCAGTTTAACAATGGCGGCCCTCGCATTGAGTAGCTTATCGGGAAAGAGACTTCTGTTTAATTTTCAGTACATTAGAAAATTCAAATCCACAGAACCACGTTGGAGTAAAATGGTAACAACACGAGCAGTAAGCTCGCTGATCACAGAGCTTCATCACCCGATCACGTTGAGAGAGAAGAAGCCACTCAAAAATCCGATGGCGTACTTTCACGCGTCTGAAATATTGTTCGGACGAGAAATTGTCAAACGGGCCCAGAAACTAGAGAAATCCAGAGAAAGATCGGCAGAACTGCTGAAGGCTTTGCGTAAAAAACGTTTGGAAGGACTTACGAATCCTCAACCTCACATGACAGCTGAAGAAAAAGTATTGAAAAGAATACATTGGCTACCCTCGATAAAGAAGCTTCTTATTTTTTATTGGGTCCAGATCAAATCAAAGAGTGAGTTGACACCAGTTCAAAAATTCGCTATTCTCGAATGTATAGCCAAATATTTCTCTAAAGAGACTCAAATGAGAGATGTGTTCCTGGTACAAGAGATGCAGCAGAGATTTTTTCAAATGCTGGTTCAAGATATCAGAGCAAACCTTGATTCTTATGATGCACATCAGCTGTACAAAATTGTCCTTTATATGGCGAAATTGTGTGTGACAGATCCTGTGATATATAAGCAACTTGAAAAAGGACTCTTGTTTTGGAGTCTGGGAGATTTTTCCACCAAAGAACTATCACAAATGTGTTGGGCATTTGCAAAATACCATCCACATGTAGATGAAATCTTCCATGCCTTGGACAGTGAGATTTTCTCAAGAGATCTTTCTAACTTTACTTCTGCAGAATTGTGCTCAATAGTTTGGTCTTTTGCTGAGTATGGTGTTCCAGACACCCGCCAATTCTACGGAGCACTGGGTAATGAGATTTTAACACGTGATCTTAGCCAGTTTCAGCCATGGATGCTGGCTTCATTAGCATTTGCTTATTCAAGTGTAGAATCACTGAGTAACAAAGTACTTAAAATGGTAGAAGAAGAGCTATTTCAGCGTGGTGAACTGAAACCTTTCAGTACAAACGATTTAGTTATGATGGTCTTGGCATTTTCAAGAACCAAAAAACTCAGTGCTAAACTATTCCGTAAATTGGAGGTGGTCATGGTGAAAAGGAGAGACTACACAGAGACGGTCACCAAAGAATATTTGCAAGAGATGTATGATCTGTTAAAAGACAGCAAATTTCGCCTAGCAGAGATTAAAAAGATCGTTGAGCGATTGTTATACCCTGATAAGATCAACTCCATATTTGATGTTCTGTACCGGCCTCGTAGAGCATGGAAGGAGAAGGTGTTACACCAGTCCTTGTTCAAAGCTTACTAGGCTTGTGTCTTCACATGCCTTGAAAAGAGGCTGGAATGGTGTAAGCATTTTTATGTGACAGTGCAAACAGCAAACCAGCTTAGCTATTTTACAGTTTTCCATCTCAAAATTCCAATTAACAGCAAGTTCATCCCTGATTTTTCTTTTCTTTTAAAGTTTGTTCGGGGATATACATTATAGCAGTATTAAAATTTCATTAACAGCTGCCATGATCATATAGGAAATAGAGTATTGAGAAATTACACTTGGTTTCCTGTGATTAAAGCCATTTTCTTATACATTAGAGAAAATTGACCACTTCTTACTTCGCTGTCTCTTGAAACTGTAGCACTAGGCGAAAGACAGAAACGGGTCATTTTGATACAAAGTTGTTTTAATACATGCCATTTTCACATGAACTCAAGCAGTGAAATTGCACAAAAATTTCAGTCAATTCAAGTATGGTTTGCACATGAACAAAAATAAGGGGCTGATTACTCTTCATTCTTTAAGCCAAGTATGTGAAACCACTTACACCTCGACTGAAAAAACTTGTATCAAAACGACTTTGTGCCAAAACAAATGGTATCCATGCTAAGCATTTATTAAAGGGCTCTGGTAATCAAGTCCAAACTGTTGGTTATCCTTAATTGAGCAAAAATGTGCTCAAGGCTGTTGTCCATAGCAACTGTTTACGGTCAAGTCAACTGAAGAACATCTCACTTAAAGTTTTGTCACGCAAGTCATTTATTTAAGGCAGTTGCCTTACATGGCTATGGTGTCACTGTCTAACGTAAGACCTTCAGTCAGGTGTAAAAATTTACATCTGTTGTACATGTTTAAACTTTAGCAAAAGTCAAACGTTAGATCTAATTATAAAAAAGCTTTATTTATAGTGGAGATATCTATCAATATGATACAGTGCTGGTCTTAACAAGATGTCCAGTAAATAAAATTTATAATAATATTATTCTAAGTTACACTTCAAAGATGCTAAAAACTGCTAAGATAAGACTACTAAAAACCGTTGATTTAAGAACTACTAAAAATCAATTTAAGATATTCAGAACCACTAAAAACTATTAAAAACACTAAAAAAATCTATCTAGTTAAACTGTACATTTATGATTACTAATGTCACTGTCTCTCGGTTGTTTAAAAAGAGCCTATACTAGTTGTTTTTCTAAGTTCTGTGGGAATTGAGTTCCAGTCACTTGCACCAGCAATGTGGAAAGTCTTTCTTCCTGAAGAAGTCTTAGATCGCAAGTGCCTTGGTTCCGCAGATTATTTTCTGTTTTGGAGTGTAGCCCTCCAGTTGCTTAGGGCAGTTTTGGTTGTTTACAATCTTAAAAATAAAAACAAATCTGAGGAATCGTCTCCCACTGTACAGTGTTAATAGCCCTAGAGTGTTCCTCATATATTGTGTGCAGGTGGTTCTGTTGGCCCTCAGAATAACCCTCATGGCTTGGTTTTGAAGTCGTTTTGTTTATCTGATATATAGGGACTTATTACATTTATGCCATACGATGCATCCATAATTGATCACTGGAAGGATTGTTTGTTTGTAGATCCTCAGGGGTATCTTTGTGTCTAGAAAGCCAGCGAGTCTGTTTAAGAATGCTATTACTAAAAGTGCTATGACTAAAAGTTTGAACGGGTCAGGTGTAAGCTTGTCATGTGGTCAGCTTTATGTACCCCGTTTCACACCTTATACGCTCGACATGCGATGCAATATCTCAACCTCTTGTGGCTGTTAATACTCGACATACCGTAAACTTCTGTGCGGCCCTGGCCTTATACAACAGTTACAACTTCGTAAAAGGTTTTAGGAGGACTTTTTAATTTAAACCGGGGAGTGCTTAAAACCACCCTAAGAAGGCGTTTCAAAACAAGCAACATAGCAGTACTGATCAAAATACTTTTTGAATTTACTCGCTCTTTTGAGCTTCAAAACGTCGTAAAAAAATCAAATTAATTTCAATACAAGGTAGAGAAGAGCCTATATCTAGGGAGACTTATAACATGATGTATATTTTTGTTTACAGATATATGAGCCTATAACTGGGGGGAGGGGGGAAGCTAATAAGCGGAAGTTGAATTACGATATACAGAAGAACTGGTGCTAGAACGTTCTGTACTAGGTTCGTTATTCCGGCCCCCACGGATACAGAATCTGTGCCATAAATATCCAAAAGGTATCGTCTTTTATTTGCTTCCGCTAATAGATCTTTCCAATTCTTTTTCGCCCCTTTAACTTGACATCAGCCGTTCGTGAATTGACTGAACTGCAAGGGCCCGTCTCCTTTTATCCAGCTATTTTTGCTGCTATTTTTTTTATCCAGCTATTTTTTTTTTCAATCTAACCTTCTGTTCACACATAAACGATGTTTAGGGCGTTCAGGCACCAAAAACGCGTTTTATTAAAAAAACGGACCTCGGCGAAAACATCCGTTTCTCCTTGCTCTTCGCCACTGGGGACGTTTCGCGCGGAGAAACGTCGTTCCTCCTCGCGAAACGTCCCCAGCGGCGAAGAGCGAGGAGAAACGGATTTTTTTGGAAGCTATCCTCGGAGTGGAGATTTTCAGTGAAAACGCCGACTTCTCGTTTACGATTAGACGGACGAAAACGGATGGAATACGGTTTTAGCGATCATATACTACTAGTATTACGCATGTTCTGTAGGGGATGCTATCTTACTATCGTACTTCGGGCGTTTTAGCGTTTTGATGTGGACTGGCGAAAACGATTCAGCGTTTTTGCCTTTTTTTGAAAACGAAAAAAAAACTCCATTTTCAAAATTTTCCGGAAACGTGTGACAGGACCTAAATTAAGCGATGGAAATACGATAGCATCACTTACAGAGCTTACGCACTTTCTAGTAGTGTGATGCATGACATCATCGTATTCGAATGAACTGCTGCATTGTCCGTCCACATTAAAGCGACAAGCCGGCGTTTGTAAAAGAAAAACGCCGCTCGGGGAACCCTCTTCCAAAACCTGCGTTTCGTGGATGGGGCTTTATTCGGTAGAGGCTTGCGCAAACCAGCTTTTGAATGGCTCAGGCGAGCACACACATCACACTGCTCTTTCTACTTTTCCTCGACGTCCACTGCCGCTAGTACAACGGCAACGTGTAACTTTCAAATGAGACGTTTAATAAACGACGTGGAGAGGCAATTCGGATAAAAATTCGCCAACATTTTACAAATTGAAGAAGGCAATTAATAGCAGCAATGGGTTTTCTTAAAAAAACAGCGCGAATTCAAGTTTTAAGTAACGTTTTCGTTGCCTTCGTCGTTGTGATTGCAAAAGCTGCCTGATTTTTAAAAACTGACGGCGACAAACCAGTGAGGGTCCGCCGGATCTTCAGTACACCTGGATCAGTAAAATCTTGAATACCAAATTTTAAAATTATGACGGTAAACGAACGGAAAATGAACGTTCCTGTGGGTGGGATGGGGGAACATTTCCTGAAACATTTGCTCAAAAAATCAGACATCTGCGCCCGAACCGCTGTCTTTAAAGAGCAAAAGTGATAAAAAAATAGCCAGAAGACCAAATATTGACCCACATGAGACCGAAATGGTAAACATTTGGGAATACAAGAGGTAAAAAACATAGGGTCAACATACCTTTTTGCCAAAAATAACTAATGAAATAGGATCCAATGCCTAGGAGCTCCTCCCCTCCTCTTCCCTCCCCTTCCCTTTCCCCACTGTAGAAAAACAAAAGATAAAAAAGGACCAATCAATAGAGCATCGCTTAATTCTCATTGGTATATTATATACTGCACCCACTATATATCTGCTTCAGCAGTCTCCACTATCAAAGAGGAAAGAAAGCAAATTGTTGTTGTGGAGCGGTGATACAGACCGTGCGCGCTGAAGGAACGTTATTGGCCAGTCTGTCATCATTGTGATCATCGCAACCATACTAAATAAACCAGCTAGCTTCTTCCATATCGGTAAGAAATTACGAGCCAAAAGCCGCAATTTTAATTTCCATAAAGAGGATCGTTTTTAACAGAGATATATATATATATCTGGGAGAAAAGTCTGGGCGAGGTGTTGCAGCTATTAGAGCTGTTGAAGACACGGATTTCATGCAGTAGCTTATGCAAATGAAGTCCCTTTCCCCATCAGCGCTGGATCAAATGCATGTCATTAAAACCGGGCGGGGAAACTAAGAAAAAAAAGGACCAATCAATAAGGACTCGCTTAATTCTTATTGGTACATAAAATACCGCACCCACTATATATCTGCTTTAGCAATCTCCACTACATTTCAAGTTGCTGGACTTCATACAAACCCCGGCGCCCATCATCATTGTGATCACCATCGCACGCATACTAAATATACTAGCTTCTTCCGTATCTAACGGGTAAGTTTTGGCAATTAACCATCAAATTTACTGCCTCGAATTGTCATTTGTTCAGATTTGTTGTCAGATTTAAATGTCGGTTGCCATATCTAATTAAATACATCAAAAAGGCGAAGAAAACACCCATGGCTCGAAATGGAATTAAGTATTAATAACAAGCTACAAACAAATAGTTTCTAGTAATTGATCTGATCTCTTTTTAACGTTCAAGGTACTTTTTCTTATTTCTTAGTCTTCCTTTACCAGTCTCCAAATGAACGATTTTCAAAATACTTAGGTAAGCCATCTTCATTGCATGAAAACTAGCGATTACAGAGGGTTGTTCTACGTAAATTACTAATATAGACGTTACTAAAAAGTAAGACATAGGATACTACTTAACTGTAGCTGGATGATAAAACTAAAGATAAGGCATTTGCGCTACAAAACATAGTACATTAGACAAGGTAACAATTATTATTCATATAATTAAGCTGTCCTTTTTGATGGATCAAGAGAATTCCACTCATTAGCCCCAAAGTCAATCAAAGACTCTCTAATGATCGTATCCTCTATTAACTGACAGAAGAGTTTCCTAGTCGACGTTAATTCATGTTTTATCGTGTTGTAACATGAAAGCTAAAACTTCTTTTATTAAGCA